GACTCACTCACACACCATACACTGACTCACTCACACATCATGCACCGACTCACTCACACATCATGCGCCTACTCACTCACACATCATACACTGACTCACTCACACATCATGCACTGACTCACTCACTCATCATACACTGACTCACTCACTCATCATACACTGACTCACTCACACATCATACACTGACTCACTCATCATACACTTACACTGCCGCTGACTCGCTCACACATCATACACTGACTCACACATCATACGCTGACTCACTTACGCATCATACACTGACTCACTCACACATCATACACTGACTCACTCATCATACACTGACTCACTCATCATACACTTACACTGCCGCTGACTCGCTCACACATCATACACTCACTCACACATCATACACTCGCTCACACATCATACACTGACTCACACATCATACACTGACTCACTCACACATCATACACTGGGAGTGTCGCGCTGCCAGCTATGGCTGCAGGTTATTGTCGTACGTGTTATGTATATCGTTTATTGTTACATTTAAAATCACAGTTCCTATGATTACTGTTGTTACATTGTTTTTATAGCTTTATTTTGGTGATTCGAAAACATATGGTTAATATAAATTGTCTTATGGTTGTTGTTGCTGGCTTGCACCACATTCTGTTACGCGTTGTCGCTTTAAGATGTTCTGTGTTCAAATTTTGTTTGTTGCGGTTGCACCCGACTTAAGAGCCGCATGGCTCACAGGGCTATACCTAATAAATGAAAATGAAATGACAAACGACACTACCGCTCCCCACACACTCACACACTTACCCACACACCCACGCACACACTTACCCACACACCCACGCACACACTCACCCACGCACACACTCACCCACACACCCACCCACACACCCACTCACCCACCCACTCACACACTCACCCACACACTCACATACCTACCCACTCACTAACACACACTCACACACTCACCCACACACACTCACCCACACACACACACTCACCCACTCACCCACACGCAACACCGCTCCACCCACACACACTCACTCACACACTCACCCACACACTCACACACCCACCCAGACACACCCACCCAGACACACCCACCCACACACACACTCACACACACTCATCCACACACACTCACCCACAAAGACAAAGATCCCCTATATAGCCTTAACAGACTGTAGGGGCAAGTGCTGTTAGCGAGCACCTATGAAGGCCAGAACGGTACACGAGGGGGTGGGTGGCCAGCACCACGCCCGACCGCCTAGGTCGACTCAGCCTCAAATGAGTACCTGGTGCGGTGTGTAAACATTGCCACTTGGGAGACAAAGACACTCACCCACACACACTCACCCACACACACAACACCGCGCACCCGCGTTTTTAATCTCCAAGATTTTAATAAGACTTGCAAACAATTTAACACGCGAACTTCGCCCGCTTATCCCAACCCGCTCGGTCAACTTTGCCATTGACGCTGCGCGATCCGAGACAAACGGAAGTTTACATTTGGCTTTTAACGCCAACGTGAAACAATATACCTCGGTTAGGCAGCGCTTTTAAACATTACACATGCATAGAGAACATAAAACAGCCTGCATACTGCGTTTAACCCGTGTGTGTGTTTGTGTGTATCTCGAACATAACGGCAGCTTGGCCGATCTTTGTTTTCGTTTGACTTCGCGTGCCTGCTCCAACTTACGCACAGCTGTCCCGTCGAAAACAAAACAAAAAACATTATTTTTTTTCCCCCGACGTCCTGGGGAGAGGGAGAGGGGGGGTGGTGATGACGGAAATTTTTGTTCGCTCGAAATCGCAACTTGGACGCGGAGAGTGGGGCGGGGGGTTGGTGGCACGAATGACGAATCAATCAACATTCCGATGAAATCGAATTCATTTAAAACTTGCTTCGCTTTACCACGCGGGGGCGCGCGCGTAAAGCGAAGCCGCTCGCAGTAACACCGCTAACGAGAGGGGCGTGCGGCGTGAGTTAAATCGTTTTAAAGCTTCGCATTTTTTTTGTTGGTCGTAAAACAAAACAATAATAATAATGTTGTTGTTAACCTGGTGAAGGCCCCCACCGCCACCGGAGCTGCTACGTCGCTTTTTTTATTATCAGAAGCCACGCGGCGATATCCACGAAGGATAACAAAGTGGTCTCGTCCTCATCGTCGTCATCATCGTCACGTGGAACATTTAAAGCAGCAGCCAAGTAAGTCGATACACGCGTGGTGATGTCCGTTCCAAATGTGGAGGGGGGAGGAGGAGGGAACCGCGACCACGGGAAGAGAGAGAGACACGCAAACTGCAAATATACAGCAGCAGCAGCAGGCGTCAGGGTCGAGATCGAACCCACGACCTCCTGTAGACCAGGCGAGGGAGTTAACATCTCCTAGCCACCGTCATGATGATGAGAGAGAGACACGCAAACTCCAAATATACAGCAGCAGGCGTCAGGGTCGAGATCGAACCCACGACCTCCTGTAGACCAGGCGAGGGAGTTAACATCTCCTAGCCACCGTGATGATGATGAGAGACATGCAAATTTCAAATATACAGCAGCAGCAGGTGTCAGGGTTGGTCGGGATCGAACCCACGACCTCCTGGAGACCTGGCGAAAACTTCAAATCTAGAATGAATCCCAGCAGCCACGAACGCTTTAAATCGAAATTTGACGCAATTTCGTTTCGCACGCCGCCTGTGGTTTATTATTCCACACCCCTCCCCGTCCCCCTTTAAACAGAACGCATTCCCCTTTCGTAAAGAAAAACATCGATGGATACCTGCACCACGCGGGGAGGAGGACCCCCGGAAACCCCCCGGATAACAAAACAATAAAAACCCGAAGCTTTGCGCGAGGGGGCAACGCTCTATCCCCCCCCCCCCCACCCCCTCCGCTGCCGTACAGATGGAAACAGATGGCGTGATTAGTCCACTCCGCACGGCTCCTCCTCGACGAGTTTCACCGCACCCGTGCGGTGCGATCCACCAAGCCTCGCTGCTGCTGCTGCCGCTGCTGCTGCTGCCGCTGCTGCTGCTGCCGCTGAGTTACGGACTACACGTGCAGCGGCGTAGCAGCCACCGCCGCCACCACCACCGCCGCCATCACCACCGCCGCCACCACCACCGCCACCGCCGCAGCCACCACCACCGCCACCGCCGCCCCAATCGCACGGCAGAGCGCTCTCGCTGTACGATCCGACGCGGCGGAAACGAAAGGGCAGCGATGAATTTTAGGAATGAAACAATTTCACACTACTGTCCACTGACCGGGGGGATGAACGATCAAAGTCGAGGGCATCGTTCGAATGTCGTCACTTCCTGCGACGTCGCTTTCGTGTCAAACCCGAAACGATGGAATGCCTCGCGCCACGGGAAGTGACGTCACAAGAGGTGACGTCACAGAGAGTGACGATCCTTCCTGCGAGGTCACTTCCTGCGACGCCGGTACTTCTTCCCCGTCTACAGCGCGACGTCACGCTGGCGCGCTTCTGTTGCCGAGGTCATTGGCGAAAAAGGTTTTCGTTGAAAAAAAAATAAAAAGATTCATGCCGTGGCCGATGTAACGCTTTGCGTCAACGTTTTCGTTTCCTTACTTTGGGCGATCAAAGCGACGGGTTGTTTTGAAAACCCATCGCTTTAAGGTCGCCTCCCCTCTTTAGTTCGGACGGCCGCCCCTGGGGTTTCCGATTTAGTTCCCTGCCTTTGAGCACTGCACATTGCCGAGAGAATCCTAGGATGGAATAAGCATTGCACATCTGAACAAAAAAAAAAATATTTTTACATTTTTCTTCCTTCATTTCGGTCCCGTCCCAAAATTCCGTTCCTCGCGTCGTCGCTGACCTCGTCAAAGAGCATCAGCCGTCACCGCCCTCGTCGTCATTGTCGTCATTGTCGTCATCGTCGCCGCGGGCAAACTCGCAGCAGCGGCAGCAGCAGCGGCAGCTTTCGGCTCAGCCGTCGTACAGAGAGGGCCACCGCGCTCGCGCGCGCTCTCCTGCGGCCGTCTGGAATGCTCTTGGAATGCGATATTAGAAAGCCACTGGGAGCTATGCACTTTTTAAACAGCCGTCTCGATTGACAAAAACTCATTCCTTTGCAACCGTTTTGTCGGCGTGTTCAGTCGGCTGCCCCCTTCCCTCGGCAGCTCCGATCGGCACGGTTGGCCACGTACGGTGGCGCGGAAGACGTTCCAACACCCACACGCAGTGCGGAGACGCTGAATGCCGTTAGGGAGGCGAACGTCACACGCTCGCAAGACTGGAGACGCGGCGTTGCACATCGCCGTCAACGCGAATTAGGCGCAGGCCGACCAGGCAAAATGAAAGCGCAAGTTTACTCAGTCGGGGGACGACGCGGTGGCAGCAGCAGCAGCGACGGCAACCACCGCCACAACGCCCCCTGCCTTCGACTGCGAATAAACTTGGCAAGGCCCTGCTGGAAAATAAGTCCTAAGCCTCACGGTTCCAAGGCCAGGTGCACGTTTGCCGAGCCGTGAATATTCACGGGCGTTCCTTCCTTGTGCGAATAATATTGGGCAAACGATGAGGGTGTAGGTTTAAGAAATACGTATATACGTTCTTATTGACGCCCACGATGATGGATAACTATCTATAAACTATTTAGATTTTGCCGGGTAATGCCCACTGAACTAGAAAGACAATATTTTCAGAAGCGACCTGGCCATCACAAGTGATGGCGCAACAATAGTGGCTTATCATCCATCACGTGGAAATTCATAGCAGCCAAATTCTCTGAAACGCACGACGTTGATACTAAATGTGGAGGGGGGGGGGGGAAACCCCCGGAGGACCCAGGAGAAAATCCGCGTGGCCACAGGGAGAGAAAGAGACACGAAAACTCCAAATATAGAGCAGGTGTCAGGGTTGTTATAGAACCCACGACCTCCAGTATACCAGGCTTGGTAGTTAACATCTCCCAGCCACTGTGATGATGATGATGATGATAAGAGAGGTACAGATAGAGAGATGCAAACTGCAAATATACAATAGGCATCATCAGGATCGGGATCGAACCCACGCCCCCCCCTGAATGCCCGGCGAGGTAGTTAACATCTCCTAGCCACCGTGGCCGCCCCCAAATATCGTTTGCGAGCTCCAGTTTCAAATCGCGGTTTGCTTCAGGGTGTGTGGCTGACCATGGGCCAGGCAGAATGCAGCTGTGGGTCGCGTCTTGCCCCGGAGACCACCAGCGCTGCTGCACCCGATTGGCACGTGTTTACAGGGACCCCCGATCATCACACAAACGACCAGATAGCCCGGCTCTACAGAAGCGTTGTGTACACTTGTATGCGCACTTGTTTGCATAAATGTCCCAGTCTTGCGCTTTAAGGAACGCCCGAATACCAAAGGCACCAATTGATTATAAATATATCGGTATACGAGTGATTGCACATCTATAGGTGAATGTGCAAACATATACAGCCTGTATATGTTCAGGTGTGTGCGCGCAAGTAAGATCTTGCGTGCGCGAGTGCGTGTTCATGCGTGCACATACAATGTGAATCGGACACGCATGTTTGTCCGTGCGTGCGTGGGATGTCTTCCTGATTTTCCGTTTGATATGTAAACGCCAAAAAATTTGGGGCCTCGATGTATACAATTGATCCGGAATAGTTCTTGTTGTTGTTTGGGGTTGATGTAAATGTGGCATCGTGTTTCCTGTCGTGTTTTGTTCGTATTGTTTGTTGTCGTAATGATCCGACCCCGTGCCCCCTACTGGACATCTGTGAAAAAGATCTTTAAAGCGCATCGGATTCCTCCTCCAGTATAAATACACCATTCCCATTCTGGCGTCGCTGTAAGCGATGTTACAGGAAGTGACGTCACAAGAGGTGACGTAACAGGAGGTGACACTCCTTCCTGTGAGGTCACTTCCTGCGACACCGGTACTTCTTCCCCGTCTGAAGCGCGCCGTCACGTTGGCGTCACTTCTGTTGCCGAGATCGTTTGACGAAAAAAAGTTATCGTTAAAAAAAGATTTACTTTGGGCGATCAACATACAAAACGATGATATATGTTACACTGAGTACGACAAGATTTTTTCTTTTTTTACAATATCTAATTTGAATTGAATACAAATAAAATACCAAATATAAAACACTCCACCACCCCCCCCCCCTCCCCCCCTTATGCGTACGCTCGGGTGCCACTCAATGTGCTTATGGGAAAGTGAAGTATAACTTAACCTGGAATTCGTCGACAGCTGAGAAAGCCGTTGTTGTTCCGTAATGCGCCGCGATATTCACACGGCACCGCAACATTCACAATCGTGGAGACTGACCTTTTTCAGGCTATTAACAGACATTTGTTATCAAATTGCAGCGTATTATCCGTTCTTTTTCTAACTAAAAAAAATAAGTCTCCCACAAAACGTTTAACACGTAGGCTTTCGCGACCAATACTATACATAATAAAGGTATTTGGGTTAGATCCAGTAGGTATAAATGTGTCGTAACCCTCCACCACCCGACACGGCCAGTAAAGTTTGTGAAGGAAACAACACGCCAATTAGTTACTACTACAGCCGTCATATTCAAATTGTAAATGCTGTTTACGAGACAAACCTTACCAATTGGCTGTGTCGGGGGTTGGTGGGTTTAACGGCACATTTATATATTTACGCGATTTAACCCAAAAAAACCTGTACCATGGATGATATTGGTGTTAAACTGACTTGGTGGCTCAATGGCGGGTTTTGGTATTGGTGGGTGCGCACACGCACATGCGCGCGGACACGCACACACGCACGTACAATGCGAACGACCAAAGCATTGTGTGTGCCGTGAGACCAGCGCACTCTGCGTTCACACGGCAGTCATGGCCCGGAACTTGGGGTTTGATGTCACGTTAGCCAGCTGTAAGAGGGAGAGAGCGGGGTAGAGAGAGAGAGACAGAGAGAGACAAAGAGAGGCAGACACAGAGAGGGGGGGGGGGTAGAGAGAGAGGGGGGGGTAGAGAGAAATAGAGACAAAGAGAGATACACAGAGAGAGACACAGTGAGAGAGACACACACAGAGACACAGAGAGAGAGAGGGGGTAAATTTTGGAGAGATAGAGGGAAGAGAGATAGCCACAAGAGCAGAGAGAGGAGGAGAGAGAGAGAGAGACAGATACACAGAAAGAGAGAGGGTGAGGATGGGAGAGAGATGCAGGGAAGAGAGAGAGAGACGTTAAGAGAGAGAAGAGAGAGACAGACGTGGAGATGGAGAGGCACACATCCAGAGAGAGAGAGAGTACAAATGGGAGAGCAATGGAGTGAAGAAAGAGAGAGACGCACGAGCGGAGAGACACAGGGGGGGAGAGTGGGGGAAAGAGGGGGGAGATACAGATACACAGAAAGAGAGATGGTGAAAATGGGAGAGACATGCAGGAAAGAGAGACACGTGCGGGGAGAGAAGAGAGAGACACAGGGGGGAGACACACAGGGAGAGAGTTGGGGTAAGAGGGGAGAGGTACAGAGAGAGCAGGTAAGGAGAGGAGAGAGTTTAATGTTGTCATTTACAGTTTAAGAATTTAATTTTCCAAGCATCACCTCCGATGAGCACGGTGGCTATGTGCAGTGCGAAAGAAGTTCAACGTACTTACATACTTACATGTAATAAAGTACTGTACTTATGAATAGTCTGTACGCCTGATTTACATTGAAATACACTTCGACCATGTGTGTTTATATGTTGGTCATTCTGTCGGGTCTCTTACCTCTGACAGGGAGTCCGGGAACCCAACATTGTCTAAAGGATCTGCGGAAGAAAAGAAAATACCCCGGTTAGATGTGTAGCGTCGGATATGCATAGCGCGCACTGCCCTGTGTACACTTACCTGTAGTTGCGGGCACGGGTCTGTAGGGGGTGCCACCCTGGGCTAGAGAGACACAGAGGGAGCCGGACCGTTAAGAGGCCGAGTTCCCCCCCCCACCCGACCCCAGGTGAGGGGTTGGGGGGGTTCTTCCAGAGCCCCCTGGAAGGTTCCAGAAAGGGGGCGGAGAGTCCCCGGGACGGGTATAAAAGACGGACCCCAGGACGGCTCGAGGCAGTGCTCTGAAGACGAAGACCGAAGACCAGCTAGGCTAGGACCCTGCGACCACCGGGACCCGACGTACTTGTGAGGGCCGGGGCCGAGCGTGGACCAGCAGTCGGGACCCGCACCGTGGCTGGGTCGGGTCAGCGTAGCCTCCCCTAGGGCACAGTTAGCCGGGGGGCTGAGAGCCCGTAGCCCCAGTGCGAGGGCACGTCAGCCCGGAGGCCGTACCTCCCCAGGTAGTGGAAGTAAAAGGGGGCATCCTGTTCTAAGATTTCAATAAACTGCGTTGCCTCTAAAGACTACGTCTCCGGTCTCCGTGGGAACCCACTACAGATGCATGCCCTGGTCTCCCTGAGTGGGTAGGTGGGATGTGGTGTTGGGTGGTGGTTAGATGGTGGGTGGGTGGTGTTGGGTGGTGGGTAGGTGGTGGGTGGGTGTAGTTGGGTGGGTTGGAGGCGGTGGTGGTGGGTGGTGGTGTTAGTGGGTGGATGGTGTTGGTTGGTGGGTGGGTGGTGTTTGTTGGTGGGTGGTGGTGGTGGTGATGGTGCGACGCTCGCCTTGTGATTTTGTGGAGTTAGAGTATCGGTTGGCGTAGGAGAAGTCGGCGCCGACCGGCAGAGACATCTCATCCACGCCTGCGGGGAGCAGACGGTCAGGACAAGCGATCGCCACGGAAACAGCACCGGCTAACCAATGGCCGCTCGGGAACGCGCACGAACGATGGCATCGTCATCGTCGCCACATCGTCATCGCCGTCGTCACCGCATCGTCATCGCCGTCGTCATCATCGTCGCCATGTCGTCAACAAAGGTGCGGTCCCCACCACCTATCCCCACCCCCCATCCCCCCCGTAGCTATGGTCGAGGCTACACAGGGAACCTTTGTCTCTTGTATGGGTGTGTGTGTGTGCGTGTGTTTTTGTGTACGTGTATATATACATGGTAGTGTATAGCGGTTAGCGCAGGCCGCTACGAACCCGACCACCCGGGTTCGATTCCCGCTCGTGGCCACCAACACCGGTGACGATTATCCGAACCGGTCCTTGGCCTCCCCCCTAGGTCGACTCGGCCTCAAATGAGCACCTGGCGCGATGTGCTGTGTAAACATCGCCACTGGGGGAGACAAAGGCGGCCGGGCGTGGTGCTGGCCAACCACCCCCTCGTGTGGGTGGGTGGCCAGCTACTCGCTAACAGCACTTGCCCCAACAGTCTGTGAGAGGCTACACGCGGGATCTTTGTCTGTGTGATGGGAGGTGTGCCAGAGTGCGCAGGAGGAGAGTTAAACATTGACACTCACTTGGGGGTCTCACTGAGCTGCGATCCATTCTCCAGTCGTCGTCGCCTGCGCGCCACGCAAACACGCTACTGTCACGGGGCGATCACGCTACTGTCACGTGCCGAACACGCTAACATCACGTGGCGAACACGCTAACATCACGGGGCGATCACGCTACCGTCACGTGCCGAACACGCTAACATCACGTGGCGAACACGCTAACGTCACGTGGCGAACACGCTACCGTCACGTGGCGAACACGCTAACGTCACGTGGCGAACACGCTAACGTCACGTGCCGAACACGCTAACATCACGTGGCGAACACGCGGCCGTCACGGGCCGAACACACTAACGTCACGTGGCGAACACGCTAACGTCACGTGCCGAACACGCTAACGTCACGTGGCGAACACGCTAACGTCACGGGCCGAACACGCGACGCAATATCGGGCAACTTCCCCGCGGCGTCGCCGCTGCGTCGCAACAACGCGCCCCCATTTTGTTTCCCCCGGTGAAGTAATTCCGCGAGCAATTTCATGAGGAAAACGTCGGCCGGCTTCTCGTCGGCTGTCCCTGCTTTGACTGGGCCCACCTCCTGGTCCGCACCTCCCCCCCCCGACCCCCCCCCGACCCCGGGTACTCTCGGACGCGAGTGGCCGTCGCCTCACCGCGTGCTCCTCTGGAGAAGTCGGGCGTGTAGGAGTTGTAGGCCGGGTTCGATTGCCCCATCGTGTCTGGGACGGGAAGACACACACGGGGGATGTCGAGACGCGAAGCGGCACAGGCGGCAAACGCTAAAAGCCGGTCCCACCTTCCCCGAGTCTCGCTCGAAACTCCAACCCGGAGACCCGGAGACCCGAACCTCGGCACGGCCCTGGTACGGCTCGGTTTGTGCCGGTGGAAAAGAAACCCGGGCCATTACAGGCTGACTCAGCACGGCTCGGTGTGTCCCAGTGGAAAAGAAACCCGGGCCATGCCAGGCTGGCTCAGCACGGCTCGGTTTGTCCCAGTGCAAAAGAAACCCGGGCCATGCCAGGCTGGCTCAGCACGGCTCGGTTTGTCCCAGTGGAAAAGCAACCCGGGCCATGCCAGGCTGGCTCAGCATGGCTGGGTTTTTGCCAGTGGAAAAGAAACCCGGGCCATGCCAGGCTGGCTCAGCACGGCCCGGTTTGTCCCAGTGGAAAAGCAACCCGAGCCGTGCCAGGCTGTCCCGGCACGACCTTGGCATGGCTCGGTTTTGGTGCCAGTGGAAAAGGCGTCATCCCACCGCTGTGTGCGTTCCCGTTGGGGTGGAACGACGTGCTGAGCGTGCCGTTCCGTCCGCCCATGGTGTCGCCCGTCGTCCACGGCCTCTGGTGCTCCGGCGGTGGCTCCATGCGTCTGCGTCAACAACGCCGTCAACAACTCCGTCAACAACAACGCCGTCGATGACGCAGTCGCCATCCACGGCACCGCGACAGTCATCAACATCATAATCACCATCAAGCGCATCATAATCACGACAGTCGCTACTGTCACTCAACATCACCACCATCATCAGCCATCACCAATAACACCATCCCCCCCCCCCACCCCGCAACATCACCAGAACCACAATCGCTGACGATGCCATTATTATCGCCATTATCGCCATCCGTGGCACCGTGCTAATCATAACCACGATAATGACCACCATCATAATCACCACCATCATCATCCCCCATAACGCCATCATCACAATCACCATCAGGCACATTATAATCGCAATAGCCGCCGTCACATCATCATCATCGTCGTCGTCATCATCAGACGTTACCAATACCATCCATCCGAACATCACCAGTACCACCACCGCTGACAATGCCATAAAGCAATTTTTTTTTGGTTTTACGAATAAAACTTCCTTGAACACATTAATCGCGCGTAGGGTTTTTTAATTATTAAGAGCTTCGTAGCTCATCGGATTCCTCCTCTGGCTGGAGTCTAAAAGCAGATTGTCGTGATGCCGAGTGTGGAGCCACTTTCCTGCCAAAACGGGCAATTGTCCACCGGGAGGGCTGACAGCGAAAAGTAATCTTTTAAAAAATAATAATCTTTTTTTTTTAAACACGCTTTAATGAAATGTACCGTACGAGTAACGGCAGAACTCCACGACTCCAGGAAGTGGCCCCAGAAGCTCGCCACGACGTAAGGGGACCGTGGACCAATCACAGCCAACGTCAGTTGAGCGTGGACAATCAGACCCAAGCCGAAACATAACATGTAAAAATAATAATTTTTAAAATGTGTGGGGTTTTTTTAATGATAAAATAAAGTATTGTCATCTGTAAGATATAAGTATACCAAGTTTGCAGTCGATACCACATTGGAAAGTGGGTTACAATTGAGTTACAAGATTTTGAGCATACAACGACGACAGACAGAGTGAGTGAAATAAAAGCGTGTGAAAATGTAAGTAAACTATCTTATCATTTTACCGGTTAAGGTCCACTGAGCTACATAGCTCATTGGTCAGAATGGACCCGGCCATCACGAACGATAGCCCAAACGAGGTGGCTTAACGTCGCATGGAAACGTATAGCAGCGGAAATAAAAATCTAAAATATCAGAATCAGAAGATGTTTTGTCTATACTGCGGGAGGCATCCAATAAGGGGGCGTCCATAAATGACGTCACAAAAAGTCAAAAACCCCCCCCAAAAAAAAACATGCTTCAAATCGCTTTAAACTATTGTCACATTGTAGTGCGTATTGAATGTGGCGCTGCACTCTGATGTTGTAGGAGAAAACCTTTATTAAAAAAGTATCTTTATGAAGTAGAAACGTGTTGTCTATATTTATTTAAAGTTGCGCATTTTGATGTGACGTCACATTTATCAAATACCCCCCCCCCCTCGTCACACATCGTCACTAATGTCTGACCCCCCCCCTCCCAGGTGCGTGACGTCATTTATGGTGGAGAGGGGAGGGTGGGGAGGGGCTGGGTGGGGAGGGAGGGGCTGGGTGGGGAGGGAGGGGCAGGGTGGGGAGGGTGGGGAGGGGCTGGGTGGGGGGTGGGAGGGGAGGGGCTGGGTGGGGAGGGGCTGGTCACCCCGTGGTGCCCCCCTTATAAAACTCAACGTTTCACCTACTCACGCCGGCTTGTGCCCGCCCTCACAGTCGGGCATATTGTGCGGAATACACCACGTGGTGGTGGTGCCATTGACCCTGGCGTCTTCTGGTCCTACACCAATGGAGACTAGGCTCTAAGAAAAGCTGTCTCGGGTGTGGACCAATCAAATTCAAGGACAGTGCATATTATTATCAGAGTTGTCTTTTTTGTTTGCATTTTGACTGCTTGTGTTGTGGTTATTGCAAACATGAAGCCTTGAATAAAGGTGTCAGTTTTTGTGCCAGTTAAAAGGGTAAAACCTATTCCTATATCATTAACTTGTTATTATTATTATTCTTAGTTTTTTCGGTAAAGTCACGTTGAAGAGAAACAACAAAATAACAAAATATATATAAAACAATAAAAAATTCTCACGACGTTTCGACCATAACTCAAACGGTCATCATCAGGTGTGTCGGTTTGCATAAATTTATTTTGAAAACGGCATATTTATTTATTTATATATAAAAATAACGTTTGCGTCACGCGCAACGATTGGCTGTTTGCCAGGACTAGTCCATCTATTTTTTGAAAAGAGGAGGGGGGAGACGAAATTTGTTTTTATGTATGCTGTCTGAAAGCCACTGTAAGCGTGAACAATCAATCAAGAACTGAAATGATTGATCAAATCTTTCCAATGATTGCTAAGATAGAATCCATCTTCTCGGTTGAAATTGTCTCTGTGTTTGTATATGTGGATAGCCTCATGAACGAATCTCTCATGGAAGCCAGATGGCTTACAAAGAACCTCCGTCTTGGAAAAGTCAATGGCATGTGAGCCTACTGAATTAGAACAATGATCTGCTACGGCCGAGGTGTTGGTCCTACCGTGTTTAAGGTCTGCTTTATGTTCACGAATGCGGTCCGAGATATGGCGTTTGGTTTCTCCAATGTAACTACTACCACAGAGGCAACTTAGTTTGTAGACACCAGGGTATTGTATGTCCGGAATCACATCTTTTACAGACGGAACCAGATCACGGATTTTATGTAATGTGTTGAAACGGACCTGGATCTTGTGTTTATTCAAGATTTTGGAGATCTTTTTTGTGATCCCAGCAATGTAGGGTAAAGTGATGGTTTTGAAAGGCTCCTCAAGAGGGTTCTTCTTCATGGTTTGAGTGATAGCTTTGCGGATTGTATAGTCGGAGTAACCATTAGCCCTAAGAGCTTGGTGTACGTGCTTGAGTTCACTGCTTATGTGTTCCTGGTCGGATATGCATTGGGCTCTATGATACAGAGTCTTGATGAGATAATTCTTCTGTGATGGATGGTGGTGGGAATCCGGTTTCAGATAAGCATCCGTATGGGTAGCTTTCCTGTAGACAGAGTGGCTCATTGAACCATCAGGTCTCTTTTTAATTAGGACATCCAAAAAAGGTATCTTGCCATCTATTTCGACTTCCATGGTAAATCTGATGGCTGGGTGTATGGAATTGATGTGGTCGAAGAATTGGTCTAGAGCAGGCCGGCCATGTGGCCAGATGACAAAAGTGTCATCCACGTACCTCTTCCATAAGGTTGGGCGCAGAGTGGCAGTCTGGATGGCGTCAGTCTCAAATTTCTCCATGAAAATGTTAGCTATAACTGGAGAAAGGGGGGAGCCCATTGGGGTGCCCTCAGTTTGTTTGTAGAAAGTTCCATTCCAAGTGAAGTATGTATTGGTTAAACAGTGTCTCACCAGGGGGGGTACCTCAGTGTTTAGTCCTTGATGAACCAAGTCTTCAATGATTGCAATGGTGTCAGGTACAGGAACCTTGGTGAATAAGGAAACTACATCAAAACTGACAAGCAGGTCGTCTGGGGACAGGGAAATACCCTTGATTGTTGATACCAGGTGAGTAGAATTTTGTACCGCAGAGGTGGTCTTTCCAGTGAAAGGACGCAGGATTTCAGACAAAAAACGAGCTAGTTTGTAGGTGGGGGAGCTGATAGTAGAGACTATGGGACGAAGAGGTGTATCAACTTTATGTATTTTTGGTAAGCCGTATAATCTTGGTGGCCTGGCAGCAGAAGGTTTCAACGAAAACTGTTTAGATTGATCAATTAATGCGGTTGAATCAGAAATTATTTTGTTGGTTTGTGTGACGAGGCTGTTGGTGGGATCTCTTTTTATTTTTGTATAACTACCATCGTCGAGTAATTCTTTAATTTTGTTGTTGTATTCTATTTTATCCATGATAACAGTAGCATTGCCTTTGTCAGCTGAGAGAACTACAATATCATTCCTCTTTTTTAATTTATATAATTCAAAACGCTCATCTTTGCTGAGGTTGCTAGCTGGCATCTTAGCGTTTTTGAGGGTTGCAGCGATTTCAGATCTTGCTACGTCTGCAGCGATGTGACCCAGGCCCCTGAGAGCAACGTCTACTTGGGCAATTATATCATTAACTGGTATGTGTTTAGGTGTGACTGCAAAGTTTAGACCTTTAGCTAAAACGGATTTCAGACCATCGGAAATAGAACTGTTACTGCGATTAATTACGACTTTATTAACGTCTAACTTTTTGGTGTGTGGGTCCGGTCTTTTGTTGAAAAGGAGGTTAAATTTGGAAATCAGGTTTTCCTTACATTTGGTCGACATAGTAGCAGCTGAAGAGGCAGTCATATTGTCTACATGTTCCCAATCCGATGTGGACATTATTGCCGTCAATGATAAGTGTGATTTGTAGAGTGTCTTGTCTAACTGATCTAGTTCTGTGCGTATAAGTCTGATTTTTTCTGAGATAAGAGCTAAGCTAGTTTTGAAAAGAATTCGTTTCGCATTAGAAGAAGTTACAGTAGCAGAGGTGAGTGTAAATGCGATTGGTATTACCCCAGAGTCGCGGCATCTCTTCAGGAAGGTGAGAGACTCGATCAGCTGAGCTTTCTTATCCCGGAGTTTGTTGAAGGATCTTAAAGTTATGTGAAAACCCTCCCCGTAGAGGCGATTAAATTTTGATTTAAAGCTTTCGTGACTGCAGTAATTCATATTCTTAGTTTTTTCGGTAAAGTCACGTTGAAGAGAAACAACAAAATAACAAAATATATATAAAACAATAAAAAATTCTCACGACGTTTCGACCATAACTCAAACGGTCATCATCAGGTGTGTCGGTTTGCATAAATTTATTTTGAAAACGGCATATTTATTTATTTATATATAAAAATAACGTTTGCGTCACGCGCAACGATTGGCTGTTTGCCAGGACTAGTCCATCTATTTTTTGAAAAGAGGAGGGGGGAGACGAAATTTGTTTTTATGTATGCTG